TGGTGGTAAGTTTTTTAAAATCCAATGTGTGGATCACATAATATTTCAAAAAATTTAACTTTTGAGTATAGATGATCTGCACTGTATCCCTCGCTTTTATATAATGCATTATGTGGATCTTTATGGTTTTTATTTCCGAAAAAAATTTCTTGCTTTATTAAATGCCTATTTTTATGAAAAATGTTTACAACAGCAAAGGAAATCTATGGGCCACTGTTTTCTGATAAGAATAGTGGGTTATTGTTTTTGTAATGGTAACACTGTAATACTATGTAGGCACTAATTGTACAATATTGATTTCCAATGAAATTGACATTATGAATGATCCTCTTGAAGAAGCAATTACAAATGTCAAATCGGAAATTGAACCACAAATAATAATAATTCTTTTGAAGAAACTGAGGTCTTTTTGATAGAGTGGATTCTTTCAATATATTCCTATAATATATTTTAAAATTTTCTATTTTTTTTTTTATAGTCAAATAATAATGTACATATACCTATGAACAAAGAAATTGAAGACACAATAAATTATGGTGAAATTAAGAATACTACTTGCAATACAAGATTCTGGTTGAAAGTTCTGACAGATGTTAGAACCAAAAATGGGATACAATTATGACAATAGTGAAATTGTTGTTATAAATCAGTTACAAGAAGAATTGATTCAATTTTTTCAAGTGTTAAACAAAAAAGACAAATCACCATATGCATCAATATCAATAAAAAATTGCTTTGCTGCTATACATAGGTATTTACAGCAAAATTCAAAAATTTCTCCTTTATGATGAATGTATGTTTCCAAGACTTCACAAACATTTAGATGGCAAAATTAAAAAAATACAAGATTTAAGCATAATCAAACAGAAAAAATCTGACTCACTCAAATATGATGAAATTTACCAAATTTTAACACATCCTGAGTTAAACAAAGGCACACCATTATCCATCACTTATAAAACCTATTTTTGGTTATGTTTCTTGTGTGGTTTTTGTGGTGGAGATGCTCAAAGATTAAAATTGGCAAATGTGGAATTAGCAGCTATTAATGGACTGACAATTACAATTCCTTGTGGAAAAAACAATGCTGGCTATAGTTTGCTGAAAATCTCTATAAAAAACTGTAATAATGTTCAAATAAATCTTCAAAAGATTAAATTTTTAATGTTTATAATTGATTCATGATATGAAATCGTTGTAATTCTTGCTTTTGTTGTATTTAGAAAAAAAAAATTATAATAATAAACATAATAAACATAAATGAAATAATAATAAATATTATGTAAATTTCCGATATGATAACTAATTAAAAAACTGGGGTGATAACTAATTGAAAAACCGGGATGTTATTGATAACCATAAGGATCTACATAGTCTATTATTATAGAAACGTGGGATAATACTTCTTTACCTGCTTATCATTCACACAATATCTATGCTTATTATAATTGTTTTAATTTTGTTATCGCCTGTAGTTTGTTTGCAAACAGAAGTAAAATGAATATAATTGTCATTAATCTTATATAT